TGTGTTCATTATATAACAGAACTTCTTCCTGCAACATACTGCAATGTAACACACACACACACACACACACACACAGAGAGAGAGACTGACACTCACACTGTCTATCTGTTTATCTCTTATTGCTTTTTTAATGGTAGGAGGATCTTGGGTGGAGAAGATCTGTAGAGAAATTGATATTGTTTTTAAAGCTTTTGTTAAAGTGTCTGTCAAGGCTGTGTGTTACCTAAGTACCTATTTTCTTTCAATAAGTCATCTCCCCCCCCCCCCCATTGGAACAGCATCAAATAATTCTTCCTGCTTTAGATTCCTTGTTCGTTTTATGCTCATATATATTTATGCAAGAACAATTATCTGTGTCTCCCAATGGAGAAGTCAAGAGCTGCTATTTCTAAAATAATACTTTACAAGTAGCATTGTTCTTCAAATACTGATACTCAATTTCCGTAGAGATAAGTTTAATCAAAAGACCCAACCACATTTTTAAAACTCAGAAAATAAAGATAGCGTTGTGATCCAGCTTTATTAAACCTTTAGACCTGGGTTAGACATAATGGTCCCAGTCTGATACAATGGCTTCTTCACGTTTGGGTGTGCGTTATGGGTGACCTCTCCCAAATCACTAAATAATGATTTAATAGACTGGCACTATCAATTCTGAACCAGTGAAGAAGATTCCCTGTCCATTGCACAACAAATGACATAAATACCTGACCAAAAGCATCAAGATAAAATCAGTATATTAATTGGAACAATTAAGTTAAACTAATTCAACTAAATTAATTAAAATATACAGGTAATCAATGGATCCCCAATTGCACATGGCAGCCATTTTTACCCACATGCAGAGTTAGACTCTGACTTGCACAAATATATGAACATTCTTCCTTCCTTCCTTCTAACAGGTATTGTGGGGAGGAAAGGATGAAGTTAGAGTAAGAGATAACTGAACTGGAAATGGCAGAAAAGAAAAAGTGGAGAAATAAAACTGGAGGGAAATGAGAGGCAGAGGCAATTGGACAGCAAAGAAAAAAGAGAAACTGTATTTAAGTATTATTAAAAGACTATAGATTTAAATTCATCAAACAACTCTTCCTAAGCAACAGCTTATTTTTCAAAGGCTGATATCATTTGTAATAATGATGGTGTAGTTATCTGCGCCAATTATTGTGTCAATGGCTTCTTTTATGCAAATTGGCCAATTTAAGATGACTACTAGGTCTGTGCAGCTCATCAGAATGCAAGGTAAAAAGGCACTTTGGAATGGATGGGGACAGACATAGTTGCGATTGCTGTCTCTAACCTTTTCTCTGGGATCACATGGCTGCCATTGGCATTTGGGCCCTGTGCCAGGGAAAGGCGTGTTTGGTAAAGAGTCAGGCACAGGTGCTGCATTAGCGCCTCACAAGCTCTGGAGCATGTTTTGTGCTTTCTAATGAGAAGCACTATGCAATCCTAATAACTACCCTCTAGTTCAGGGGTCTCCAACCTTGGCAACTTTAAGCCTGGGGGACTTCAACTCCCCCGAATTCCCTAGCCAGCTTTGCTCACTGCTGGCTAGGGAATTCTGGGAGTTGAAGTCCGCCAGGCTTAAAGTTGCCATGGTTGGAGACTTCTGCTCTAGTTCACAAGAAAGGGTTTGGGAGAAAGATTGGATGGATAAATATGTTCTCCAACAATTTCATTAGAAATAAAAACACATTAAACCTGGTGTTTAAAAATTGTTTTAAAACTGACTACTGTTTTGTTTTGTTTTAGAGTCCTTTACCTTGGATCAGAGGCTTAAAATGGGGGGAGTACGTAGGTTCTCCTAGTGCCCCTGATCCACTTGTCTGCTTTAGCCAACCACATGGAGAAAGATTTGGCTCCTTGCAGGCTTTACCAACTAGAGCAATTTGTGGTCTGTCCCGAAAGTTCTGCCTTCTGATGATCTACAGCAAAGAGCAAGGTAAGGACTCTAGTACACAGTCCTAGCAGAAACATTGGAAACCAAAGTTCAAAAAAGGCCAAACTATCCTCTTTATCCATTAGTTCAGTCATCCAATGATGACAACTGAGTTATTGAGGCCCACACTGTATATTACCTAGTGGCGTAATTGCTGTAGAGATCTTAAATTGGGTAGAAAGTTTGTGAAATGGCTCCCACATGAGCTATAGCAATTCTGAGGACAACTCTAGAAACATCCACAATGAAGTGGCTCAGCAGATGTAATAAGGTTCTCTCTACTCCATGTTGAAATTATTGCCCATAGGTAAGCTTCCTGTAGATGGCTCACGTATATTTTGGATCCCACAGGAATCAGTTCCTGTATAAGTAATGTAATTCTGTTTTATTATGGATTCCTTAGGCAACAAAAACATATGAGGAAGCGTTAGAACTCCCAACATTTTTTCTTGTTATGACAAGTTCATTGCTTCAGATTTAAAAATAGGGAATATGGAAAGCTTATCTTATTTTTCCCCCAAAGTTTTTTATTTTTTGTTACATATTTGAAACTTTTGTAAACAAAGGGTTGTCCGGTTTTTCCCCTTTAACATTCTCACATACACAATTCATTTTACATTATATTTCCATTTCCAATTTTAGCTGTATTATTTTCTTCCCATATTATCCATCTTAGACTTAATCTTTTCTTAACACATAAACAATGTCATTATTTATCCCTTCAGAAGTAAACCAAATTTATCATGTCATTTCCATCTATTTTCTATAGGTATATCTTCAAATTCAGGTTTTATGTAATAAGCATTTTACTTAATTAGTTTCTACAATTAATAATATTAATATAATTCCCTCACATCTTAATTAGCTACATATCATTACTAGGATTGACATATTTATCTTATGAAGACCACATAAGTAAGGCCTTAATAGGTTTGTAAAACAGAAGGCATTGTTAAAATAACTGTGATTTTAATAAAATTAAGTAAAAGAAGAGATTCCAGTGTTTGCTTTTTGAAAAAAAAGATACATGATAGAATACCTTGAAATGTCAACTGAATTCTGGATCTGTTGCAGGTGTTAGAAGCATGCATAGTACAGATATCCAGTGGTCAGCCATCCTGAGCTGGGGATATGCAGATAATATCTTAAGATTAAAAAGCAAGCAAAGTGAACCTCCAGTAAACTTTATACAGAGTTCACAATTTCACCAGGTAAGACTTGTTAATTCTGTTTCTGCTTGACTAACTTAGCATTTTTTGGAGGGGGGAGGGGGGGAAGCAAGCCTTAACAAATAAAGTCTGCTTTAGATGTATTGATCCTAGTCTAATAAATCACTGTTTATCAAACTGAGAATGAACCTGTAACTTTGCTACAAGTTCCTTGTAATGTCATAATCCATAATTTAATTTCTTAATAATGGAAATGATTAAGTCTATGCTAGTGTTATTGTAGTACAACACAGAAAGAAAATAGAAGGCAATCCATACAGTTACNGGGGCGGGGGTCTTAGCTAACTTTGTAGGCTGTCTGTCTCCCAGGCTTGGTTGAGCCTTGCTGACTGATGTAATCTTCCCAGGTGCCATGTGGTGAGATTTGTAGAGGGCTAATCCTCTCATGTTCTGAGGGCCATGTCTTAATCCCATCACCCTGGAACTTAAGGAGTAGGGGGGAGCGGACAGGGAGCTGCAGGAAGCTGCTTTGTCCTTAAAACATGTTTCTCCTTTTGTCATCCAGGGAACTGTAATATTCTGCCTTTTCAGTATTTCCTAAAATATTTCATTTTTCTAGGAGAGGGGTGGGTGCTACCTTTCTACAAAATGTTGCAGTTTGTGGATTCCTTGCAAGCTTCAAGTCGCTTTTGCTCTCTTTTCTCCCAATTGATCCTGCCCAGAGATAACAGCCTCAGTCCATTTTCTCCTCTGTCACTTCTGGCTCTCTGATCTGTGCTTCTAAACCGCTGGTTCCCTTTTGTAATTTCCTCCTCCCTGCAGCATAATGGGTGGTATCCTCTCCATTGTAATTTCCTCTTCAGACTAAGGATCAGGTCAGGTGGTCAGAGCTTTTATGCCCTCCAGATATGATTGCTGTCTGTTCAAAAGGCAAAAGCAAAGTGTTGGAAAAACATGAAGAACATTCAGGCTTCATAAAGGGCCTGAAGCAGTTTACTTGCTTTGCATTTACCATATATTTGCATCAAACTGGTAGGCTTATTGAGTAAGGACTTCTGTTGTCTAAGTGGTTCCATTGAAGGTCATAATTTGCACTTTTGGAAACAATGTGCTAAGCCAGAGTGTTATTTGTTTGATTACCATTTGCAAACCACATCGTATCGTATTATGTCTGAACCAGAACTGTATGATTTATTCAGTGAAGTACAGTGTTATTAAAATAAACAACAGCTTAGCACAATGTGTTAACCTAATCACTTTTCCCAACAGTAGTTGGTCATAAATTACTGTAAAGCTAATCAAAGCAAATCTACCATGATCAAGCTGCTACTGGTATTCCCTTTAGAAATACTCTTTCCTGTTCTGAAAAAGCCTGTTCTTTATTTATATACTGATTTAGTTGACCTGGATCCTAGAGCTTCTCAAGGCTTTGAATTCTCTGTTTGATTTGGACCCAAGGTTGACACTCTCTTGATGGATCAAGTCCGAATTCATGAAGCCTTTTACTGTATTCCCTATGAAGGAGTCTTCCATAGATAAGCATATGATATCTGGGCTGCAAAAATCCAGTTCATACTAGATGGTAGTGGAGTTATATTTTTGTATACCTTAGTGCTGCTTCAAAGCTATATGCAGGGGTGTCAAACTGGCGGCCTGCAGGCTGGATGCGTCACATGCAGTCCACGCCCACCCCAGCTCCATGTAGCAATACGTCACGTGAAGGCAATGTGACACTGTGAGTTTGACATCTGTGCTATATAGCAGTGTTTCTCAACCGTGACAACTTGAAGTCCACAGGACTTCAAGTTGTCACGGTTGAGAAACACTGCTATATAGCATAGCTACTTGACGCATAATCCCACTTCTAAGAATATGCAAATGTGCTTTATGGGAAAAGAAAAAGAACACTTTCCGCTTTCAGTTTTATGGAACTCTCCTTTACCTTTAAACTGTAAAATATCTAGTTCTGGAGTTAATGTTCCCAAACCAAGACCATCCTGTAATTGCACCAACATATAATTGTTTTTATTATATTAATACAGCAAATTCCTTCTATAAATATAAATCAACTCATTACTGACAGCTGCTATAGTTACAATATTTTTTAGCAGAGAAGGTAATTTTTCAAGAACTTGTACATCTGGAATCAAGAATATTGAATTTGACACTGGTCCACAGAGTAAGTTTTCCACAGTGATAGAAATCTAGCAAATGATCTCACTATTGTAGTTGAAATTAGAATGATCTAAACACTTGCTAAATTCAGTTGAATTCAGAAACATGTCTCTAATAAATAAATTAATAAAAGAAATATCTTGAAGAATCCCATTTTAGGTCTGGCAAGAATAGGAAACTATCTTAGATTGATTCAGACTGATCATCCATCTTGTCATAGTTTGCATGAGACCGCCTGCTGCCAATTACCTCCAATAGACCTATTAGATCCCACAGACTGGGCCTCCTCCGAATTCCATCTACAGGCCAATGCCGATTGGCTACCACCCGGAGGAGGGCCTTCTCTGTGGCTGCTCTGGCCCTCTGGAACGAGCTCCCCGTGGAGATTCAGACCCTCACCACCCTTCAGGCTTTCCACAAAGCCCTTAAAACCTGGCTGTTCCGACAGGCCTGGGGCTGACGAGTTCCCGTCCCCGCTCGAATTGTGTGCTTGTTGATTGTTTTTAAATTGTTGTAGTTGTTTGTCCGTTGTTTTCTTCCTGTTTGTATCCCCCCCCTTACTTTGGTTTGTGAGACGCCCTGAGTCCCTCTGGGAATAGGGCGGCATAGAAATGCAATAAATCAAATCAAATCAAAGCATGGCCCAGTAGTGGTGCTGTATGGTTGTTGACATTCTGTCTAGATCTGAGATTTTGGAATCTTCATTTGGAATTTTCACCAAACACCCTGTAATGTTTCTGAATCTTAGCAAGATGATTACCGCATCTTAATGAGAATATGTTTTGTAGATGTACAGAGTCACATTTTGTGATATTGTTGTTTCAAAATTATGTTTTAAAAGTTTCGTTTCTCTGGCTGTGACATTACATTTGTTAACCAAGATACAGCATGGGGAAAATAAAAACCAAATTGCTTTTGTTGAAATTATATCATCTTCTGGCCTCCTGATGCGAAATAATTGGCAGCATAGGGATTACATTAAAATGTTCATTAACTGTGGATGAAAAAATGAAGCAAATAAATGTTGTGTTCTCTCTCTCTCTCTCTCTCTCAAAATGAGCAGTATAGATGTCTCTAAAAATAGAAGGATCCAGCAGATAGTGTGAATTTATCCAGACTTATCTGAAAGTCCCTAACATTTGGAAATATTTATTGGCAACCTTTTAATATTATAAAAGAGTCATTCCACACTTTCCTATACATACATATTCTAGCAGCAGCCTTCTATCTCACATACCCAGATCAGCTCCCCATCCGCATGGTTGCAATCTGTTAGGTAAGAGGAGGAAATCTTTTTTTTCTGCAAACAGTATGGAAGCCAAAGAGAAGCTTCCATACTCTTCTCCTCAACATGACTCATCCAAGGACTCTATATGTGACCATAAACTCAGAAATTCTTAATCTGTTCCTTTGATTGGAATATTAATATTAATAGAACTGTGATACTTATTCATTTATCCTGCTTGCAAGATGGTTTTGATCATATATTAAACATCAGTTGAGGGAGAAGGACCCACAGAATGAAGTATGAGACTTGCAAATATTATTTCTAACCTGTTTCCTCTATTGATTCAAAGTTTTTTTTAAAGTTATGCTTATGTTATTAAAATCTTATCTTCTGCAGTGACCTGTTTATTGGGGCCAAAATTGTCAAGTAATTTCATCCAAATCATTTTAGTTCCTAAAGCTGAAAACAACATTCTGATTTTTTTTTTATTTCAAATTGTGGAGAGGAGGGAATTTCATACTTGATTGCTCTTCCTTGCTCTGATAAGATGGATCAGGATTTTAACACTCACTAGAACTGTAAATGAATTTTTAGCTGAGCTGAGCTACATTGCTTGTCTTTCTCCACATACTTTTGCTGGAAGAAATCTATTAAAGTAGAGGTTTTGGCCTTTTGCGCAATATTAATTCTATTATTCCATCTTGCAGTATATATAATAATAATGCAATAAAAATCCTGCAATAATAATTTCAGGCTTTACCTCCATCGTACTGAGGAATGTCATTCTTGAAAGCAGCAATCCCATAGTTCAGAGAGGAAATCACTTATCATATCCAAAGGCTTTTTAAATAGCCAAGTCATGGCAATTTTTCTAAATGCTAACAGAACCAGTGCTGACTGAGCTCAAGTTAGCTCCAGGTTTATATTAATGTTCTTCCTGATCTCAACCTTAATAATGCTTAAGAGGCAAGTATTTATTCTTTCCATTCTTGCGAGCAGTGTTTTGGAAGTTACTATAGCTTTCCAACTCTATCAATTTTTTTGAAATTTTTCTTATAGCCATCATTTATGCCATTATATTTTATTTTCTCAAATGCTTTCTTTGGATTGGAATGTGAAGACCTCATTTCTATGGTGGGGATATCTATCATAGACAATTTGCAGCAATGTTGCATATTTTCTTTCTCTTTTTCCATTAAATTTTTGTTGGCACTCTCTTCGCCTGTAATCTGAAATTGGACATTAACTGCTTTCTACTTAGTCAAGGTTAAAATCTTCAACCTTCTTACCAGAGCAAGGTAGAGGACTTTTCAAGTATAGGATTTCTTTTCTCCACCATAATAATAAATTGTTATGATAACTTTGTTGCATCACTACTTTCAAAGATTAAACCCCAATATCAAATCAGATCGTATCAAATTATTTATTACAGCCATTAAAGTCAGATAGAATAAAATATTCAATAATAGAACTGTAACATCTATCTATCTATCTATCTATCTATCTATCTATCTATCTATCTATCTATCTATCTATCTATCTATCTATCTATCTTTACACACACACACACACACACACACACACACACACACACACACAGCCCTCAACTTATGAATACAATTGAGCCCAAAATGAATGTTGCTAAATGAGACAGCTAAGTGCATTTTTGCTCCATATTACATTCTTTTTGCCACAGTTGTTAAGTGCTTGTCAGAAGGTTGAAAAATTTCATCACATGACCCTGGGACACTTCAACTGTCATAAATAAGAGTCAATTGCTAAGCATCTGCATTTTGATTACATAACTATGGGGATGCTACAATGGTTGTAAGTGTGAAAAATTGTCGTACACCACTTTTTTCAGTGCTGTTGTAACTTTGAATGGCCATTAAACGAACTGTTGTAAGTGGAGTACACACATACACAGAAAAATGAGTATAATAAAATATAAAGATAAATAAGAGTACATATAATAAAAGAGAATAAATATTATATGATGAATAAATAAATATCCAAACTTAGGTAATGGTGTGACATATTGTGCATGTGGTGGCACAAAACTGGAAACATATTTTTGAGTCCTGCTCCAAAGTAAGTATTTTTATTTATTTGTATTCTGCCTTCTATTATTTTTACAAATAACTCAAGTTTACAACCTATCCAACACACCTTCCTCCTCCTATTATCATCGCAACAACAACTCTGTGAGGTGGGATGGATTGAGAGAGAGTGACTGACTCACTGTCATCCAGCATCTTTCATGGCTTTGGCAGGACTTGAAACTGACTGTCTCTTGCTTTCTAGCCTGGGGCCTTAACCATTAGAGTAGCGGTAAATTTCTTGAGATCCCCAATCTCTCTATTTCCTAAAAAACACAGGAAGCTAAATGAACTTCAAGCGATGCTAATTCTGTAGAATAATAGCCCAGTAAGCTATGTTGAAGGTTTGCACACCATGAATAGACTCACATAACTATTTCTTTCAGAGTGTTTTGAGGAAACTCATTTTGAACATTTCTGTAGTTTTTCACATGTAAATACTATAATGTGACAAAGAAAGTACACCCCATGTGTTTTATTTTTTAACGTATGTGGATATATCAATATATTATTGAAACAACATTAAAGATGTAGAGCAGAGCAGAATAGAATACAATTGAATTAGATTATTTATTGCAGTGTTTTTCAACCTTTTTTGTGCAAAGGCACACTTTTTTCATGAAAAAAATCACGAGGCACACCACCATTAGAAAATGTTAAAAAAATTTAACTCTGTGCCTATATTGACTATATATAAAGTAATTTTCCCACGGCACACCTTACACAATGTCACGGCACACTAGTGTGCCACGGCACAGTGGTTGAAAAACACTGATTTATTGATCATGTGTGATTAGACACACAAGGAATTTGTCTACGGTGCATAAGTACATATAAACAGCAAGTAATAGGTCATAAATCATAATTATAGTTACAATCATTAATCATAAGTTACAAACAACAATTGATAAATCATAAGAAATCAATAGAAGATAGTAGGAAAGATGAGAAGATGGGAAAATATGAGATATGAGGCAGTGCTGTGGGGATTTAGTGTTCAGCAGAATGATGGCACCGGGGTTGGGGGGGGGGAAGGGAGAGAATATCTTTATGTCTGGCTGTTTTGGCATGTAGTACTCTGTTGCGGCATCCTGACAGGATGATTTTTTTCAGTTGTGTGTGTGATATTTGAGAGGTTCCTTGAGAACTCTTTTCAAATCCCTATAAAGCACCCATGGGATTTTGAGCCATACTTTTACTTGATTATTCCAGACTTTCCATTTTTTTCTTTCAGCCATTCAATGGTGGATACACTGGAATGTTTAAGATTATTTTCATATTGCAGAGTCCACTTTCAGTATCAGTATTTTGATAGATGGTCTCATATTACCCTCAAAGACTCTGTAGTAGAATAAAGAATTCATAATGGATCTTATGATGGTTAATTACCTAGGCCCTGATGCAGCAAAGCAGTCACATATCTTAACAGTTCTGCCACCCTGCTTTACTGTTAATATCAGGTTCTTTTCCTGAAATATCTCTGATTTTTGCCTGTCGTGTCTTTTGGTTCTGTGGTCAAATATCTGTTTGCTATATCTGTCCAGAGTACATTGTACCAGAAGTCCTGGTCTTTGTCTAGATGTTCACGATTAAATTTTACTCTTGCTTTGATGTTCTTTCTGGACAATAGAAGTTTCTTCTTGACCTACCTCTATGTAGATCTAATTTGTGCAGTTTCTTTTTAATGATAGAGTCATGCAGATCAGTGATGTGTGAGTGACTTTAGAGACTTGCATTCTGTCCTTGGCCTAACCTGACCTGATAAGCTGGTAGTTCTCCACTTGTAGATGATCTTCTGGGCAGTGGAATATTTGATATCCTATTGTTTTAAAATTCTTTTGCAGTTTTATAGGGATTTATAACATTTTTTCTGAAGACCACAAAGAGCTGTTTCGATCTAGGCATGGTAATAACACACACTAAAATAACAAAGAACAAATCAGACTAAATACTTGAATTTTAAATAAGACAGGTTCCTCCCAGATCCTCTCTTAACAGTGTTCTAATTATTTGCACCTGATGTGATGCAATGGATTCTAATTTTAGATATCCAAGGACATGATAGTGGAGGAATGTACTCAGAGTTTTCCACATGGGAAATTTTCATTTATGTTTACTTATCATTATATATTAGATTACAAAATGTAAATGGTGCATGATATTTGTTATATTATATTCAATTTATTAATATTATTGAAATTAAGTTCAAATTTGTGTATGTTAAATATGTGGAAAAAATAAAAAACAATTAAATGGGGCATACTTATTTTTTCACAAGTTTAATTTCTCAAGTGTTTTCTTATATCCTCAAATGAAATAAAGTTTTTATTTTTCCACTGACAAAAAGTCTTCACAAAATCCAGTGACATTTTTTATCTTTTAGGGATGATTATATTACTCAATTGAGGGTGTGATGGTTCAATGGTTAAAGACACTGAGTTTGTCAGCTGGAAAACTGACAGCCCGTGTTCAAGACCTGAATGCCACACAATGGGGGGGAAATTTTATTATTTGCCCCAGCTCTGCCCATGTAGCAGTTTGAAAGATTGCAAATGTGAGTAGATAAATAGGTACCACTTCAGTGGGACCATAACAGTGTCCCATGTGCCTTGGCATATAGTCATGCTGGTCACATGACCACAGAAATGTCTTAGACAACGCTGGTACCTTTGGCTAAGAAATGGAGATGAGCACCGCCCCTAGAATCAAATGAGTGGACAGAGAAAACTTTTACCTTTATATCAACCAATTATACCTATTTTCATTACATCTTGTAGACATTGTTACTATCCGATGGTGGTATATAGTTCACTTCTATATGACTATAAACTTTCCTTTCCTTTGTTTTAGTAAAGTTATTTGGATCCTATATGTTACTTTGCTTAATTGTGTTGTAGATTTTACTTTGCTTACTCAATAACTTGACTATATTTCAGTTGGCGGTGGTAGTGATCTCAGACTCTGGACAGTCAATGGTGACCTGGTGGGACATGTGCATTGCAGAGAAATCATATGCTCTGTTGCTTTCTCCAACCAGCCTGAAGGAATCTCTATCAATGTGATTGCTGGAGGGCTAGAAAATGGAGTTGTAAGGTGAGTGATTTTAATAGAGCATTTTTGTTTTTAGAGATATATGTCACTTATAAAACTATAATGCATTTTGGATACTATTCAACATGTGCATTGTTTTCACTCCAAAGTGTCTGATTTTAAGATATATGTGGTTGCTTTCTGGTTTTGTTCTATTGTGTAGTGAAAACTTTTTCCTTTCATTGTTCTACAAAGATTCTATTTTTATAGCTTTATTTCGGTACAAAGAACAAAGAACCTTTGGAAATCTTAAAGTCTAATAATTGTGGCCCTTAAATGGCATGACTTTCACGCACTGTAGCTCATTTCCTCAGATGCATGGGCATCCTGAGGACTGTAAACACACAGAGAAACATTACACATTCTTATTTTACTTCTTGCTTGGAGCTGAATCATTTATGCAAACTAGCATTTTACACTTGTCAAAGTTTTACCATCATTTACCTCAGCAACCAACCTTCAATTCCATACACATTGAACTTTTGTAATTCAAATCTATTCACTTTATCATATTTTCTTTAAAGCAACAATGTGCACTAAACTTGTTTTTTCACATTTGTACATTTCTGTAGTTTGTTGAAAAGCAAAACTCTAGTCTTTGCATAAAACCAAACTTTGTTTCGCAAATTTTGCTTATTTTTACCTCTTGGAACTTTTCATTCAGAATACTACCAAATGCTTTACCAAGCGCTATAAATAAATTATCTTCAATTTGTACATTCAATATTACTTTCTCTTTGTAGAAGGAAATATTAACATAATTCTTCTGGCATACATTTTAGTGTTTCATAATTAAAGCAATATGCTCATGCTATTTTATGTAAAATTGGATCGCTAATCTAAGGGCTACATCACAGGCAAACATAATATTGCTTGCATCCCACCAAGTAAGAGGTTTAAGTAGTCCTCACTTACCAACTATAATTGGGACTGGCAACTCTGTCACTCATTGAAGCAATCGTAAGGTGCAATGTCATGTAATTTATGTAAGTTTGATTTACGTAAGTTTGTTACTCAACTTATGTAAGTTTGTCAGTTCCAACTGTGGTTGTTAAGCAAATCATGAGTCATTAAACACATTACATGATTATGACTTGTCACTTCTTGCCACTTTCCCCATTGAAAATCACAAATGGTGATTGCAGGATGCTGTAATAGTTGCAAATGTGTGCTAGTTGCCAAGTGCTAAATTTGCTATTATTTGACTAAAGGGAGACTGCCGGAGAGGGGAACTGGGTCGCGCAAGCACAGTGATATTACATGCTGCAGCTCAACTCATGCAAGCGGTGGGCCAGTGCATGCAGCTTGACTGCAAAGTGGAGGTGCATACGCATGAATGTGTGTGTCAGCCCACCACTCGCAAGAGTTGAGCTCTGTATGCATGCGCTCTAGTGCAGCTCAGTTTTGAATAGCCCATAGGCCTGTAGTGAGCTGCTGCCCAGGGATTGGAGACTCCTGGATTAAGGCATTTGTAAGTGAATCTGATGAGGTGGGAACCAGATGAAAACATGTTTGAATATACAAGTTCACTAAATGAACCATAAGTATGTTAACCTGGAAAACTATGAGTCTAAGAATTCTGGAGGGTAGATGAATATAATGCCTTTGACTTCTTTTGCCCTGCAATGGTTAAAATTATTTGTGCGTACATAACTTAATTCCTGTCTATAATAAATCTTTTAATTTTGTTGAATCATGTCTGAGTCTTCTGCTGAGTAAGCCTATTCTTAACTAAGAGGTTAAAATATCTGTAGGACTCAAATATGCTGTGGACTCTCTAGTATGAAGCCTGACAGCCAAATATTAAAAAATATATTTGGATAGTTGAAATTTTCTCTTTTTTTAGTTTTGGGTGTTTTTATAATTGATTTATGCCCATAGATGATTATGCTTAGTGACTGATTTGTTTGTCCCATGTAGAATGATGTCTGTCATGAATCATTATATTGTAATGAAAGATAAGCAACCTGATGAACTTCTGAATGCTGTGGAGGTCTTGTAGTATTTTTGTGAGATCAAATATGGGGACTGTCTCGCTTAATGAAAAGATTTAAATCAGACTTTGTATCCGGGAATAATTTATTACAATAAAAATTCAGAAGATAAAGCAGAACTTTGGTGAAAGGGAATCTGTTTGACTATAATGATGGATCCTATCTCTGAACAACCAGAAAAATGTTTTTGTTCAGGGTGTACCAATGGTACAACGAACACATTTGGAAATAAGATGATATAATAAAAGGGTTTTGATCTTTTCCAGCACAGCAGGCCTTCTCTCAAATTGATTTCTGTCACAATAAAATGTAAAAGTCCAAACAAAATGTATATACAGTATGCATTAGTGCATCAGAATCATGTTTTTCAGTATTATATGCAATTTTCTTCCATTTTAATTCAACAGATTATGCAAATCTGCAATATAACTTGAGCAAAAATCATGGCAGGATATAGAAGCAATTTCTGTCATTTAGGTTGCACAAAGTAGCATTCATTTTCTTTTCTCTTTAGATTGTGGAGCACATGGGATTTGAAACCTGTCCGAGAAATTACATTTTCTAAATCAAATAAACCAATTGTCAGGTAAAGAAAAAAGATCATTTTGTAGCATTTGGCAATTTATTTTTATGCCATTTCCAAAAAGTTAATATAATTGTTGGAGTGCATTGCATATCTTTAGAGTTCCCTTAAGGCTTCTTTTGGAAATAGCACTTAATAACTTTTGGTTTTAATGAATGTGCCCACTTCCTAATATGACATTAAACTATTCCCATAATGTGTTCCTTATTAAAATGCAGAATTAATCAAAGGTTTTTTTTTTACAAAAATGTTAATATAACATCTTGCACTAATAAGTCCTTGCTTGGCAATGGCAATTAGGATCAGCTATTCCATCCCTAACTGTCATGGTTGCTAAGCCAAATATCATATGATCATGGTGGGCTTATCTCATTTCCTCTTTGGTTATGAATTATCAGAGTTATTAAGCAAGACATTGCATGATAGTGACTTATGATTTTACTTCCATCTTTTGTATTAACGTTGCTTGTCACAAACCAGTTGCCAAATGCCCATGACTGTTGCAATGGTTATGAAAGAGAGGAATGGTTGCAAAGCTATCTTTTTATATCACAGTATAAAAGCCTGCTAAATGAGACAATCAATAAGTGAGGCTTTATATTTCCTCAAGTAATTTTTGCACATCTATTCCATGGGGTTCCAGATCACATCAGTAAGGTTTGACAGGCTACATTGGATGCCGCATATGTGATTGCTTACATGCCAGTTTGCTGTAGAGAGATATTTTTTGTAAACAATAAAATTCAATGTAAGCAGAAATATATTTATTCAGTGCAGAAAATGAGTAAGATTAACATTTGTATTGTCTTTATAATTAAATTTATTTGCCTCCTATCTCACCATGGAACTACTGTAGGCAGCACATAACCAAAAAAAAACCCAAAACCAAAACCCTGAAGAAATAAAAAGGAAATTTAAACAAAGCGAAATTAAAATAGAACAATAAAATAACCAAGGGAAAGAAAAACAAAGAAAAAAAACAAAATAGATCAGTATGATTAATTTTAAAAAAAGATGGTTAAGAGGGGAATAGCACGCAGGGAGGTGGGAGGTGGACTTTGCTATCAGTCTAGCAGCCATCTCAGAATTGAACTTCCCATTGAGTCCCCAGGCCAACTTGCAGAGCCAGGGCTTCAGGCTCTTACGCAATGATATGAGGTTGAAGGCAGATCTTACCCTGGAGGGCAGGATGTTCCAAAGAGTGGTGGAGAAGGCTCTTCTTCTGTATCCTGACAGTTGGAATTCTTTGACCAAAGAGATCTACAGCAGGCTGGCCCGAATAGGACTGGCTAGGCTTACTGTATTTTTCAGAGTATGACGCACCAGAGTATAAGACGCACCAAGGTTTTGAAGAGGCAATTTAAAAAAAAAATGTAGGTAGGTAGATAGAGGGATAGAGGGAGAGAAAGAGAGAAAAATACAGTAGATAGGTAGAGACAGAGAGTAGTTAGGTAGGTACGTAGGCAGGTAGATAAGGGGAGAGAGAGAGAGAGAGAGAGAAATATAGTAGGTAGGTGGGGAGATAGAGAGAGAAATAGAGAGAGAAATAGAGAGAGAAATAGAGAGAAATACAGTAGATAGGTAGGGAGAGAGAGAGTAGGTAGGTACGTAGGTAGATGGAGGGGAGAGTGAGAAATATGATAGGTAGGGAGAGAGAGTAGGTAGGTAGGTAGGTAGGTAGGTAGGGGGAGGGAGGGAAGGAGACAGAGAGAGAGAGAGAGAGAGAGAGAGAGAGAGAAATACAGTAGGTATGTAGGGAGAGAGAGAGAGAAGGTAGGTAGGTAGATGTTTCCAGGTATATTTATCCATGTGCTGGAGAAAGAAATCGCTGACAATCTGCAGCACTAAGCCTTTGTTTCTGCTGGCACAGCACTTGATTAATGTAATTCTCATCAATCAGTTAAATAGCTTTCCAAAAGGGGAAAAAAAGTTTTTGCACGCTGCAAACCTCCTAAAAATGGCCAGTTTTTTGTGAAAATGCCCCCCTTTAAAAAAGGCATGAATAGCCTTGGGGGGGGGGGCTGCAGAGTGCTCCTGGGAAGTGGAGGGAACTGAAAACGAGCAAAAAATGGCCTGTTTTTTGTCAAAAAAAAAATTGCATGAAAGGCTTATGGAAGTTTATAGAGTGCTGCTGGGGGTTGGGGGGGGGGCAAAAATGGCCAGTTTTTCGCTCATTTCTGCCCTTTCCAGCCCCAGGAGCTCTCTGAAAGCCTCCATAAGGATATGCACGGCCATTTTGGTGAAAGGGCGGTACTTTGGGAGGCAAAAAATGCTGCATTCAATGTATAAGACGCACCCAGATTTTCAGCCTCTTTTTTGAGGAAAAAAGGTGCATCTTATACTCCGAAAAATACGGTAGTGAGATTTTAGTCCATTTACAGGCTATATACTGTTCTTTCTCTTCCTCTCCTCATTTAATCATATATACCATAGAATGTAGACTATCTGACCGATTTGTTTTTATTTGTGTCTTTTCGAAAACTTTATAGCCTTACCTTTTCATGTGATGGCCAACATTTGTACACAGCAAATAATGAAGGAACGGTGATCTCTTGGTGTCGCAAGGACCAACAACGCTTGAAGCTTCCTATGTTCTACTCATTCCTTAGCAGCTACGCAGCTGGTTGACAGCTCTCTCAGTTTCTCAGCTTTGGTAAATTATGAAGCACTTTCAATACAGAGTGGACTGTGGAGCCCCTTTGGTTTTGCTAGATTTTGAAGAACATGTATGACTTTATCATCAGCAAGTAGATCGTTGATGACGTCAACGAAAAGCTGCTACACATGCTCATGCACCAAATTTATGAACCATATCACAGTGATAAGAAAATTTTGGCTTGCCTTTTTTGGTACCAAGAGGACACTAAGGGCGCTAACTCAGAAGTATATATGCTGCAATATGTTATGTAACATAAACATATTTTTATGGATACTTTCCTGGACATACATATTCTAAATCTTCAAGCACTAGTGGTAACTTTTGCTCATCTGTTATGTAAAAATACAATTAAAATATTTCAAGATTTATATAAAAACCCATGTTTGTGTTTAATTCATTATTAGATTATAATCCACCTTGTTCTTCCATACATATGTATCACCATCTCAAGGGTTTTAAAACTAAAGTTTTAAATGCTTAATTTTTTATGGAGAATTTGATAAATTTAGTAGGTGCTTGCCACCAAAATTATTTGAATTTATGCATTTAATTTTATTTATTTAAAAATTTAAATAGCCTCCCATCTTGTATTAAATTCTGGGTGGCTCTCAATTAACAATTAAACATCAATAAAAGCAGCATAATGCATATATCTATTAAAACTATAAACATTTTAACCCATCTTTCTAGACCAATAGATTTTTTTTAAAGGCATAAGTTTTCATGAGCTTAAATTTGGATGAAGCAAACTGTACTTCATGAACTTGTGTGCCTTTTAATAAATTGTTAGTTTACTTTTTTACTGGACTTATCATGCAGGAACTGAGAAATGATATAACTAGTACACTAGCTTAGTCCATAAATGTTGGTCAAAAAGGTGATTTGTTATTAGTGTGATGTTCAAGTCCTTTATTACTTATTGGTTTATATGGTTAGGCCACAATTTACAGTCTAAGAAACAACTGTTTGAAAATTTCTTGTCTGATATTATTTGTGAACCAGGTCTGGCATTTCATTAGGCTAGTTTTTGCCCTTGCATATAGTTTAAATAATTATGCTTTTTTGCTTTGACAGCCTTAGTAACCCCAAATTTCAACTCCTGAATTCCAGACATGGTTTTTGAAATGTATCTGGAAGTTTGCAGAAGACCTTGTTCTCATAAAAACTGTTTATTTATCTTCTCCCCCTCTTAAAAAAAAGAAAAGAAATAAGATTTTTAATGCTTGCACAAACCTCCATTTAAAGAAATTGCTGGGAAGTTTCCTCCCCCCCCCCATTCCCTACAGATGCTTTGTAACAGGGTTTTTTTTGTGCCTTTTATAGCATATAAAACTTGCCTTTTGTAGCCATTTCAAATCTAAAGTTCTGCAGATAATCACTCATATAAGGGCTTAAAATGAAGCTGCTGAAATTTCACAAAATAAACCCTTACAGGATTTAAGGTAAAAGAGAAAAAAATGCATTATTTCTCTATCGTATTATATAGATGCATTTTTATTCCTTAACTGATGCTCCAATGTGATTTGCCTTTAGCATAATTAGTACTCAGAAAATATGCCAAGAATAGATGGAATATTATTTGTTATATCAGAATAACTTTCAGCATTCCAATAACACTTTTAAAAATGAATAAAAGTAGTATGCACTATGGCTTCACCATGGGCTGTATTATACATTCTTCTCAATGACTTGAATTCCCATGACTTGAATTCCCATGACTTGAAAGAAATGATTCCTGCAGGTTAGCAGAACCCAAATAACTAAAAATGTTTTCTAAAAATAAGTACTATATTGTAGAAACTTTCAATGGAATAAAACATGATGGGCACCAGATATTTTAAAAATAAATTTGAAAACAAGTATTTATTAAAATGTATGCCATGGCAAACATTATCATTCTTCTTGTTCTTAGAAAATAATGTTTCTTTCCAAGGCTCCTATAGTACTGGAGTCATTTTTTTTCAGAATGAATGTTTTAATGAGATAGATATCAGCAAATTTATTTAGGAATACAGATATAAAAATGACTAAGCTTGTCTCAGAATCTTGACCTACAACACCTCAAATTCTGTGTTTGAACATAAAAAAGCACAAGAATTTTAAGGCCTACGATAAATTATACTATGATTTCCATCCAATATGGGGAGGCTGTTTGGGTTTGTAGCTTTATGTCAAAGCAGGGGTATCAAGCCCAGGGTGTTTAGATCTAGCCAATAGGGCCGTCCTAGAAACAGCGAAGGGCCAGCCTGTGGTGACTGCCAGCGAAAATGGAGCTCGAGAGGGCTGCAGGAGACTGTCGCAGCTAAAAATGGAGCCCGGGAGCCTGTTTTCACTGGTAGAGTACTCGGGCCACCACAGGCACCCCCAGCATGAGTGACATTAAGCTGGCCATGCCCACCCTGGCCTCCCGAGGTCAAACACAACCCTGATGCGTGAAATTGAGTTTGACATCCCTGCAATAAAACAAAATGCCTAGAGGGGGTTTCCCTTGTTTTGGACTTCCAGTTTCAGGGGCTGCCTGTGTAGAAATACTGTGAACACTGTGGAGCATGACAAAGAATGAAACTATCTGGGCACACAAAACAGCAGAGTTCTTGGGCTTGTGAAATTTGGATGAGGTACTAGAGAATCTGAGAGAGTGTTACCTGTTCTGACCTCCTCCGTCCAGTAACGAAAGCTGAGACAAGTGTAAAATGGAATGTCTTTTAATAACAAGACCAGACTCTCGGTGGCTGAAAGCCAAATA